TTTTGTATGATAAGATGTCTTCAAGTTTTATGGTTTGCCAAATGCTAGAGGCCAATCAGGAAATGTATCCACTGTGGTGGACAAAAATCCCTGTGTGATCACTTGTGCATTCTGGTACAGGCATGAACAGCTCTACAATTATCCAGTTTTAGTGTGTAAGTAGGGACGACAGCTTAGAAATCCAGCAAAKATAGGGTGGGATCCTGAAGAAGTATGCCCTGTTTATGGATATGTCTTTTATCTATAGATTAGATGGGTGCTATTTATCTGTTTATATTTTCCATATTTTCCCCCTCCTTACATTAAAATCACTGAAATTTGTAAGCACCTTGAAAACTGTGCTTTTCAAAGGGAAATGTCCTGTGTTGAAGACATTATTTCAAGTTTAGACTTAAAGTACCATTTTTGCAGAAATACATGAATTTTAAACCTGCAGATTCAGGGACGTGTCACTTGTCTAGTGTATTATGGAGCTACTGGATGAATTTGCCACCAGATTGTGTCTACATACATTAAGTGGATATTTATATCAGTCATATTCTATTATTGATTTTCTTATTTTTGTCAGTGATACTGTRGAAAGGTGACTTGCATGGAGGATTTTCATGAGTGCTGATGAGTTTCTCATTTGGATTTTGCAGAATGAAAGCATTTGAATGGATCTTGGCTAGGCACTTGTCTTTACTTCCTCTTCCGTGGTCTTTACTTCCTCTTTCTATGGAAAATACATGAAAAAAATCYTTAATAGCATCCTTTCTTTTCTCTCTTCAGGTCAAACAGAGTGGGAATTTCTCATTGTGTAAAAGGTGGCTCCAAAAATCTTACTAAGGATAAGAGATGTGTCTTTATTGAATATTTATTTATAATATTCATATTGAAAAGGACCAAGTTCTCCTTTCCTAACCATGAATTCATGGGTTTGGTCCAATTTAGGAAACATACTGGTCCTTTTTCATCTGAATTCCAGACTTTTTCAGGACATTATTTTACTCATTGGATCAAGAGAACTAAAAAAGTTTGCAGAGATAATATCCATCTTGTCTCAAACCRCACACACAATCCACCAGACTATTTTCAGAGGATAGCTGGGTCCCAAGGATGTATTAGGAGGGTCTCTGCGTGCTGCTCGTGTCAATGCAAATTAATTTTTGATAGCCAGATGTGCATCTGATGTATGTGAGAGTCCACTTTTGGGCAATGGTAGTGGGTGAAGTGCTGGAACATAAAGCTGACATGCCATGACAAGTGGTTATAAACCTGCAAAAGGTTATAAAGTCCATCAGGGAAATTAAAATCCTTCATAAATTTGCTGCAACTTTTATTTCGTTTTCAACAAGCTCAATGCTGCAGTAGCAACTTCTGAAATATAGTTGATTCAAATTTCTAGAGAAAAAAATAATGGGAATACTCCCCTTGTCCCCTTTGTGTTTTGATCTGTCTAGTTAGCCATTAAAGGTGAGGTCAATAAAACCTGCTCTACCTGCTGTAGGCCTAAACAGAGCCAGGAATATTACAAATGCACTTTTTTGTTTTATTTTTATTCTACATTTTAATTATCCACAAAACTGGCAATATAGAAGAGTTTATTAATTGTACAAGCCAACTAATTCTTGCAGAGGCAGCCATTCTGCCTCCATTCCATAAATCTGCATAATTTGTGTGGAGTTTAAATTTGTCTCATCTTCACTGTGGATTTTGCAGTCTTTTGGGCAAGAGAAAGAAGGGTGAATGTTCTGCCTGATGGGGGCAGGATCAGGGGAGTCTTTCATTACAGCAAGGGAACATTGTGATGGGCCCTGGGTGCACCCAGACAAGGAACAGGAGTGGTTACCAGGAGGAAGAACATTCCCTTATTCCCACTTGCTCCATGGATTCTCCTTATCTTCTTGTTTCCGGCCCAAACAATAAATACTTGCTGAGAGTATTAAAACCCATGCAATGAGCCTGATGGAKGTGCTTCATCTACTCTAAGAGGAAGGTGATCTCTTGAGGAAAAACTCCTTTAAATTTACTAAATTGCTCTTATACTGTTGTCTTCAAAGGCAAAAGTTTGGTGGTATGTAGTATTAACTCTTCATTGAGGAAAGGGATGCTAGAAATTCAGGCTTTACATCTGAAAAATATTAGAAGATGCTCTTTTCATCTCCATTTTTTAAGATCAAGTTTTTAGAAAAATACAAAGTAGTTTTCAGAAACAATTAAATGCATGAAAGCTTTCCATTTCAAAGGCAGCTAAACAAATCCGTGTCTGTACCTGGTCTAAGATATTGCTGTTCTTTGTGGCATTTGATTCTTCAATGAATACAAATGGGTGGAATGAAAAATTCGTTAATGTTTGTTTGCTGAAAAACAAAGAAAAAAATTTTATTTTATGTCACCTCTCTTTTTCTGTCTGTGCTTGCAAAACTCTGTTGCTCCTACTGCATTCATGGGGTGCTGCTACCACTGGGATGAGATGGTGTCTTCTAATTTCATGTCTTAGTGAATAAATACACCTGCAACATCCCTGGCAAATGCTGCCTCCTTCTCCAGTGACTGTGACAGTGCTGTGCTGCTCACAGACTGCTGTGCTCGARGATGATGTGTCACCACCTCCTCCTGCACAGTCCCCAGCCACGAGTTTACCCTGCTTGCTCATTGTTGGTGTTGCTCCTCCTGTTACACTGCACAGCTACTTCTTAATCTGTTCCAGACTGAAGTGAAGATTTGTGTCTCATGTTGTTGCTGATGGTTAACGCTTTTGAGCCTTTCTTCAAACTTGTTTAACCTGGGGCATTTCTCAAGTTTCCTCAGTACCCCGTGGATAGGTATTTTCAGCTCATAAAGCAGCAGGAATATTATTGTTATGGGGAACACTGTACATGGCAAGAATGGTTTTGGCAAGATTATTAATTAATTTCTTAATTTTTAAATGTAATGTCGCTGTTATTGCTCWTTAGTTTTAAAGAAACTGTATTTCATGGGATCTAATATATACACACTGACATTTCTAGGCATACCATAAACAAAACAAAACAAAAAAAAAMCAATAGTTTTTTACCCCAATGTTTAGCACTCCTAGCCTGGCATTATTAAAAATCAAAATGGAAGAGTAATWTTGAGAAGTGTGTGAGAAATTCCTGTGGTTGAGTTTTTGAAGACAAATCCAAGAACTTCTCTTTTTAGCTGAAATTGTGAAAACAGAGAGACAGTGAATGTTGCAAGTATGAGTGGGAAAATGACAAGTTTAGCCAGAGGAGTTCAGGAAGGCCTTGACTGTTGGGGGGCATCACAAGATCAAGGAACATTGTCATTATTCACTGCTTCTTGATGCTTAAAAAAAAAAAAAAAGAAAAAAAAGCTCAAATAAATACTATTTATTGACAAAAGAGATTAATCCCTTTTACTTCTATGTTTTTGACTGTATAACACCTGATACATGTAGTGTTACTACCATTGTATCGGCATATGTGACTTGTGCTGCCATAACCTCATTTCCTTGCTCATTCTTGCCTATGTTGGTCTGAAAATAACACCTCTTTCTGTTTATTAGAAGCATCATAACCTTCGTCCTTTAAGAAAAATTTAAATTTAATTTAAAGGGCAATGAATGAGCATGGGTAGACACATACCTTAAACCTTATTTAACTTGAAGTGGATTCCTTGCTCCTCAGTCATTGTTGGCCTAACACTTTCTCTAGTTTTAAACTCATGCTGTTTTCCATTAGCTGAGGATTTATCCAGGAATAATTTGTCCTTTTCTGTGCTTTCTTTCTTGGTGCTATATGTTTTATCCTTATTTAATGAGCTATAGAAAAATGTAAAAGCTTAACACATTCATTGAAAAAATGTGTTGAAGTGGCTTGTTTCTGACAAGGGAAATCCCTGATGAAGAGTATATCAGGCATGAAGTATGATTGTTACAAACTTGAAGAGAACTGGGCTTAAAGACAAAACTGCCTATGTAAAATAGTGAACTGAGAGATTCAAATCATAATGCTCAATTTATAAAGGATACATGCAGGCTTGTTAGTATTACAGACTAATAAATAATGCTTTCACCTGTAAACTGCCTGAGATCCTTCTGCCAGGGGAAATAGCCCATGTTTTGACATTTTTTTGTTTCTTTGCAGGAGTCAGAGAATAATAAGTTATGTTCCCTATATTCCTTCCGAAATACCTCTACCTCACCAAACAAGCCCGACGAAGGAGGCCGTGACCGCAGCGAGCTAATGACCAGTGTTAATTTTGGAACGCCAGAACGCCGCAAGGGAAGCCTAGCAGATGTGGTGGACACACTGAAGCAGAAGAAACTAGAAGAAATGACCAGGACTGAACAAGAAGGTATGCATTGGATAAGAGTGATATAGTTTTCCCACTTCCCGATCCTATAATTTTTATGGCATAAATGATGTGTTGGGTATCGAGAGTCATTAAACTGGATAATTGGCAAAGAGTAGGATAAAGTTATTCACAGGTTTCCATAGCAATGGTAGTCTGAGATCYATTAGGGATTTTAGACAAATATGCCAGTTTTTAAAAACTTTTTAAATTGTCTTGGTAGTGAGTCAAAGCAAGAATGTTGGATTTGGTGAAAACTCAACTCTTATTTGACAGGTTGTGATGAATACTTAACTGGCTGCAGAGTTGTGAGGGATATTCTTCAGTTGTATTTGTTCTTTTTCTTTTAAAAGACAAATGTTTATTTTTAACAATAAGAATGAATAAAACATGAGCCGGTTTGTTTTGCCTTAGAAATTCTCATCTTTCATCACTTTAATGACCCAGCATCTGTAACTAGGAGAACAGGAAACAGTTCTAAGTGTAAAAGTACATACTTCTGACCTATATTGCTAGAATTACAGATGAAGAAATATATATATATTCTTTAACAGTCTCCTCAGATATTGTTACAAATATTAAAACAGAGATAAAAATGAGGACAAATCTTTCAGTGCTGAGGCAGTTTATGTAGTCAGTCCTTATTCAGATACTTTCAATGATTTTGTTAAGATTTTGGTCATGGCAGGAAACAAACAGAATTGGAGAGTGAGTTTATCAGTGCATGTGCACACACAGTCAGGGCCCACCATGAAAGTGTCTCCCCATGACAAGCAGAATGAAGTCTTGCTTGGTTCTGCAACAACACCTCGTAGTCTGTGAGCTCCCTTGAATCTGGGAAGCTGTGAGAGCATGAGGCTCTGAAATAGATAAACAGGTGTGGAGGCATCTGTGTGGATTCTCTTAGATATTTTACCAGTTCTGTTTTGTGGCATTAAAAATAACCCAGGAGGAATATTTGTAATGTAGCAGAGCCACAAGGCAGTAGACCTTCGTGAGTAATTTTTTTTCTTTGAGATATGAATGAGTTCAGAATTATKTTGACTCCTCAATTTCATGGTATGGTCACAGTGCACTTTAAGTTCCCTTGGCTCCATGTAGCAATGTAGATTTCAATTAAAATTGAAGCTGTTATAATAATATGCTTAAATATAGGATAAAATCATGTAGTGATGGAAGTAGGCTTCCAAATTTCTTGGCGTAATTGTTAAATGCCAATGTGTTCTATAGGTGTCCTTTCTGAAGCTGGTAAAACATCTCTAAAGAGAGAATGTCCCAGATTCTTTACTACCATCTGTCTGTTTTCATCTGTAAAGATCACTCTTTTAAAAATTGCTTTCTTTGATTTGGTGGTTAGGCTAGGAAACCTATTTTAAATATTACTTTGGCAAGGTTGTTTTCTGCAGTCGGTAGCAGTCGTTCGACACCCTATGCTAATCAAAGGTCTTGCTGCGGGAGTGCACAAGTTGCTGCTGATTTTATTGACACTGCAGCTAAGGCTTTTCCAGGACTATACTGGATGGTGTGCTAATAAAAACGTGCATCAAAAAGTTTAAACATAGTATCTATCTTCAGGGATTCAAGCATTTCATAGCTTATTTTTGTATGAATTCTCAAGGATTTTCTGCACTTCTCCTGTATTGGTATACACTGGTTGTTTTAAGAGTGCACAGCAGAGAGAAGCCTGTCTGTGAGTCAGAGCCTTCCGTGCTATGTTCTCATCAGCTGTGAAATAAAGGTCATTTTTGATCTATAAAATAACCTTGCCTTTTATGGACCACATTATATTAGAGGACTATTCTAAAGTCTGCCTGTGATTTCAGAGGTATTTGACTGTATCTGCATGTTTAGGTTAAGATTAGATATCAGGAGTCAATTCTTTGCTGTGAGGGTGATGAGGCACTGGCACAGGTTGCCCAGAGAAGTTGTGGATGCCACAATTGTTTTAGGACTGAACTTTGTTTTAGCTCTGTACAATCAGCTGGGGAAATGTGGTCTGACATTATGAAATTGTTTTGCCATTTTACATTGTCTATTAAATAACCTTGTTAATAACCTGATCCCACATGTATCATTCATGATGCACTTTTAATATATATCCTTTAAAATATGTTTCTGTGCAGTTCTTTCCTTAAAATGGTATGCAACCTATGCAATTGAGGAGTTCTTTTTGTACTAGGTCCTGCCCTGTCACAAAATTGCTTACCCAAACTGAAAAACACCTCTTGATTTTTTAACAAACAGAGAGAATAATAATATATTGGTTTACTAATGAATGAAGGTGGGATAAGATGTGTGTTTCTCTTGTGTGCTGTGGGGCTTTAAGGCCTGCATGTCTCCTTTAAAAGAATTTAATAGTTCATGTTAGCCTCTTTTATAGGGATGACCTCCATGACCACTGATGTAGCTGTGGGATTTGGGCTAACACACAGTCATATGTCAAATTAATTGTAGAGTTAAAAGCGGAGTGAGGAGCTCAAATATTCCGCTCATCAGATCTAACCCCCATTGCAGTGCAGCAAAAAGTCTCTTGATATTGTTCTATAGTAACTTTCTGGTCCATCTGTAGCATCTGAATTTGAGTAATAAGGGCTGTTGGGGTCAAATACTTAAATACTTTGTGCTATACATTCAGATATTAGGTGTCTGTTATGCTTGCATGTGCTGCTTGTGGTCTCTGTTGCACCCYATAATATTGGAAAAGAAATATGTACTGGGAGACTTTGTGTGTCTAAATAGATATATTTAATCAGAGTCCTTTGGCTCCTGAAAATAAGTTGTCTAATGAGAATTTCATCTGAGCAGCTGTGACTGAGGAGGTCAACAGGCATTGCCTAAGAGAATATGGCCCAGCTGGTTAAATCTGGTTGTTGTAGTGATTTAAATGGTCAAGTGCTGCTTGTAATCCAGGACCGTCTGTTTGTAAAGAGAAGAGTGAGTGCTTCAGCATAATGTACAGCTGTTTTAATCTCTCTTTAATAATAGTGCTCCAGCCAGTGTCATGTCTTGTGTATGGTGCTGGGAACGTGGGTGCCTCACACAGGAATATACCTTAGGTACGTTTTTAGCTTTATTTGTAGTCTGAACAAAGATTACTGGCATTACAGGATAAACAACATGTTTTTTGACATTGTGGTCCAGTGTTTGCATTTTTTTGTACACTAAGGCATTCCTGTGTCTTAATTTGTAATGATTTGGAAACGAGAAAATCGATGGGAAAACTGTAATTGAAAAAGAAAAGAATGCTACAAATATTTAGAGTTAATTTGAGCATGTAAAGACTTTGCTGACATGTGTTCTCATAAGACAGAAGAGGTCAGAAATGAACAGGTGTCTAATTTCATCAACAGCATTAGACTCTAGGGCCTCTTGGATAACTTCAGGATATTCATCTTAGTTATTCTATGAGCCGAAGGATTGTTTCAGTGGCTTTTTTCTTTGGAAGTATCTTCCAGCTCAATCAAGTATTACAGCTCTTTAGAGAGCAAAATGAAGAGTTTATGTTAGATAGCATGGTCTAACTGCTTCTTTTCTTTTCTATCCCCTTAAAGTAAAAGTCTTTTTGAATATTGCTTATGCTACTTTTGTAAGCCACATTTACAGCCTGGGCTGCCTGAATCCTATACTGGGAATTGGTTTCCACACAACTCTCCTACTGTACTTCATCATAAACCTCTAGGAACAATAATTAGTGGTACACATCTTGTCTGCAGCGAGGAGAGCAGATTTCTCCCTTTCAGATCTGGAATGCTAGGTTGGCAGGTCAGCTGGCACTTCTGAGCTGGAAACTGGGCATGTCATTTCTGCGAAGTGCTAAGCCCTCATTACTCAGGGCCTGGATTCCTAATTCACTTTTGACCTTGATTCTGAGCAATGTATACAGTATCAATTTTCAGTCAAGCTCGGTTCACAATTCTAGCACAAGCTTTTTATGAAGTGCTTCCCATTCTTGTTTCCTCCTTAAAGACCATAGTTGAACATTCAGAGATCAAAGATTTCTATATATGCATGGTGGAATAATGAACATCTATATAAATAGTAGTATATTCATAAATTTCCATCTATTCTCTGTCATGTGCACCTGTTTGTACTCTCTCTCTATGGGTGGATATATGGATGGATATCTAAATTAAAAATTAAGGGTTCACATGTATTATTAATTCTATATGCAGTAGGGAAAATCTTACCACATTACTCAGTAGTGGTGGTTTTTCTGATTTTGGTTTTCTTTTTCTCCAGCTTCATGAGTTAATAATAATTGAACACTTTCCATTATATAGACTTAAAATAGATTCATATTTCCCCTGTAAAATTTTCTATTATTCCAGTAAGGATGGTAAATTGAAATATTGCACACACTAACACACATTTTTCCTATTAATTTAATTGGCAAGTAGAGAAACTTAGGCTTTCACATACTGTATTGTATAGGTGGATGCTGGCAAACCATTTTGGTTGAAATTTTTTTTAAAAAAAAAGTAGTTTTTTTTTTTTAAATTATGGTTGTTTCGGGTTGCTTTTTAAGAATCTGTTCTTATTATATTGTATTAAATGAATGGAGAGTTTTCATTTTGTATTTTTTGTTTTAAGCCTTCCACAGCTGAGGACAGAGAGAGCTCACACGGATGCACTCATTTTTTAGCAGAGTTTTAAGCACATCCTTTGAGGACATTACATTTCAGGAGTTCTCTTTGCTGGATCAGTCCTAGAAGTGAACTGCTGACCATTTGTGGCCAGTTAATGATTTTAAACGTTTTTCAGAATTTTTGCAGAGATTTAATTCGGGTTATCTGTTTTGTGCTGGGCTGTATACCCACATTTTCCATTGATGAATGTAGATCTCTGGCTGTCCTACTGCACTTGACACTTAAAGACCTCTGTTCGTTATTCTTTTTTTTTCCTTCTTCTTTTGGTGCTTACCTATATTTTGCTCCATTTCAAACCGTTCAAAGTGTTTCTTGATTTTGGTGTTAGGATTATCCAAAGTAATCAATAAAAAAGAG